TTGAAAAGTTATTTTAAGTTGAGGTAGTCCGATTCTGTTGATTTTCGTATCGCCATTTAATATTTTTGTCGTATTCAAGACAGCAACAAAAATACGTTTGGTTTCTAATTACTTTGTTTTATTTGTGTTGCATTGAATCAATTTTATATTGAATTATACATAAGTAGATAATTTGTTTTAGCGCTATACCGTTGTCTATGGTTGTGTTATTATAATTATATGTGATTCATTCATTGTACCGGATTTCGGTAACGATGGTTTTATCTATGTTTTTCGGGAAGAGTAATCTGTTTGATGTTTTTAATCGGATCGGAAAGTTTTTTTTTTGTATTTCATTTCAAGGATAAAAACTATACCTACTTTGGTATAAAACTTGGTGCTACAAATACGTTGTCTTCTATCCGTGCTCAGTTTATTAATGAAATCAAGCGACGAATTACTGAAATATTTTAGGTCGCGTGTTTATTACACGAGTAGAAAGTAAAACTGTGATACTCGGATGGCGATAACCATAAAAGGCTTGTACAGTCAACGATAAAATACTTTAACATTTATTTGATGAAATAATTAAATTATCTCTGTTCTTGCATAGACCTTTGAGAATTGTGATGTAAAACATAGAAACACTTGTAATAAATTTAAGAGGTATATGCTTCATAACATATTGAAGAATTTTTCTGTTTTAATTATAAAAATGATTTTTAAAATATTTTGTAATTTTTAATTTATGTTATGAATAACAATGGTACCTAATCTTTGCGAAGTAATTATATTATTTACTTGTAAATATTAAATAAAACTACAATCACATTAAAAACAAAATCGCTAATAAAAAAAAAACAACATCGCCATCCACTTCTTATTCAGGAAGGAAAATAAAGTAAGTAGATATTTGCTCGATGTTTCTCCCCTCTGCTTGAACTAGCCTAAATAATTTGTAAGATATTACATAATTTCACCTGCCTAGAATAGGCTCAAATTTCAAGTTTCTTCTACCGACAAGGGAAAAGCCGGAGGATGCTAAAAATACGTAGCCCGAAGATTCCGAGTAAGATACCAGCCTATAAAGAACTATCCTAATCTGGTTGTTATTGGGTCTCGCCCATCGTGTAATAATCCTCGGTATGAAGAAGATAGTTTTATAGATAGGATTATTTTTTATTTGCAAGACATCGGGTATGCATAATTTATGTCATAGCCACGATTCCAGCAAGTTGAAAAACGAGATGTAATAACATTCCAAATAGCGCATAAGTATTTTAATAGAGAGTTTGGCCTATTGATGTTAAATCGACAAATAATATGACACCTAATTATTTATCTGTTAAACTATCTCCGATTTTAAATACATCGAGCAGGAATCTGATGACTGTGTAACAGAAGCATTAATTGGTAAAAGTGAATAATTACAGACACATATAACCGCGAGCCGTGACGGCTGATCCGCAAGTGAAATGCCTTCGGGCGGCACTCATATTTATAAATGGAACCGAATAATGTTGGACGTAGATGAAAAATTGTTGCCTGATGAAACAGAAAGAACGCACTGTCGGAGATTTGAGCAATTGACATATTAGTATATTGTAGCTGATTCGTTGAATAGAAAAAACACCGATGTTAGCACAGTAATTATTTATTTTGAAGATGATTCAATTACGATAACTCAATTACAAGAAAGGTCGGTGAGGGAGAGAGGGCGGAAACGGTAAAACCACCACTTTACCATTTTTAATGGGGCAGTGTTGCCAACACGCACTTATTATTATAGTGCATAATACCATGTAAACCGACTTTGAGTTTGTATCGAAACTAAATGCTTTTACAACTGCGTGTGAAATGAAGTTGTTTGAAGCATTTAAAAGTTTCTTTTAATATGCAATGAAAATATTGCAAATATTTTTAATTCCTACCGCCGTCTTTTGAAACTTGCGTGACTGCACATTTATAATTATTACCTATCTAAATACTCGTAGTAATAATAATCATGTTTCTTTATTAAGGAATAACAACTATCACACAATAATAGACATCATGTAGTAAAGTGGTTGTGTTTATTATTTTAAGAATAATTACAAATGTTAATTAGTAAAATACAATGTTAAAATATAATTTTAAAAATCGAAAACACTGAATCGTGTTCATAAAGTATATCAGACGTTGAAATAACTTACGAGTATATTTTCAGCTAGAACTATGTAGAGCTCAAGTTTATAAAATGACTTATGACTTTTTTCCTAGTTGCCAGAACTCCGTGTATATTTCATTTGCGCTCAAGGCTTTGGATAAAGATTACTTGGTAAATCCTTGGTGTGTCCAGCGGGATGGATACGAATAAATAACTTCTCGAATGGGCCACTTCTGTCTTTTAATAATGATAACTTTTATGTACCAACTTCAAAAAATTCTTTCGATCAATTCGTATTCCAAATAAATGTCATAAAAACACAACTGATCACTTTATATAGATAGATACTTATTGCGCTTTTGTGATTGTGTTAATAACTTTAAAATCTGAACCATAAATCTTGCCACCAGTGCTTTATAAACTAACAGCCAGTTGCACAAACGTAAACCGACATTACCAATACAAATCTGACTTTCATTAGAGATTAAAGGCGTCATTAAACCTTAATGGACGTTTGTTCAACTCACTGTAAGCCTATTGTAATGTATATAATACTCGAATTGTGAGATCTTCTTGTATGAACGAAAATGTGATGTCATGCTTAACCGTATGCATTAATTTGTACGGTAACCTCTTTAGACTGACCTTGTGAAATCTACTTTGTTTAATTAATAATGAGTTATATTGTGCTTGTAATTCGTCATAAGCCGTATATGAAATAAATAACATATATATAATAAAGCATAGTATTTGCTAAGAGTAATTTATCGACGATTTAGGTAAGAACCTCTGCATTTAAAGAAGTAAAATAAAAAAATATATATATAGAACAGTGAGAGATGATTATGATAAAATGTCATCTAATGGAACTGGAGACCTATAGAAATTGACTTTTTAAAACTATTGGTGAAATACGCAATTCCTACTTATTTATATCACCTTTATTAATTATTCTCAAGTTGTAATCATTATTCGCAGATTCCATTTTAGGTAGAAACTATTAATTATATTAGAAACTGTAAATCACTTATGCCCGATTGTCTTTTTTAAAATATCTACGACAATCGTAAAAACGGTATAACAAATGAATATCGCCTTCCTTGTCCCAACAATTCCTAACAGTATGATCGCGTTTGGAAACAAGTTGACTTCCTCACGCACTTCCGTACCGGAGTATGCTGTTTTCACACGAAAATATGCGATATAAAAGCAAAACGACTGTTCTGTGCATTCGTGCTTTACGTGACGCGATCGCTATAATTAATTATGCTTCTGGTGGAAATCATGGCCCATAATAATTCCTAACGCATATCACTTCATATAATTTAATGATAAATTTAACAGCTTTTACGTGAGAGTCATTCGAAATGAAATAATAATATGATTATTCAGATTTAAACGTAGCAGAGCGGGTTTAGCATATGAACAAGTTAGGTTAAAATAAAATTTCAGATTTTAGCAATCAATTTGGAACTTTACTTTTGAAGTGTTAAGAATTAAGTTCAATTGGAGTTATTGGAGAATATTGTTGTTTTGGCTTTACAATCAGCGTCTTGATTATGAATAAAAACATATTCCTAACTTTGCTGCTATGAAAATTTACATTAGAGTTAAGTTTAGTTATTGGTTTCAAAATAAATAATCTATATACAAAGACGGAACTCGGACGAACGGTGTTGCTAAAACAATATGATAAAAATACCTCCATAAAAAAAATAAAGTGATTTGTCTTAATTATGTGTTCATCTCTAGAAAGTAATCTAAAACAATAATATATTTATATGGTCCGTGGTCGGTGGTCTATCATTAGTTTACATTCATACGTGTTCATATTAAACGTGTGATAAAGATCGAAATGTTTTATAAATAGATAATGTTTACACAATAAAAGATTCTCAACACGCTATCGTACTATATCTACCTGAAATCCAATATTATTATATCTGTCACTATTGATGTGTGAGGAAGCCATTGCACTAATAATATAGGACTTTAGGTAAATAGTACTTATAAGTCATTAAAATTTTATTGAAATGCTATTATTACGAAAATATTTGCGGAATTGGCCTGCTGGACAGACAATTCCTAGTGTATAAGTGCATACTACTGTGTGACGAATCTTCCGACAGCTTTGTACTGACATTAAATTGATATTCCGAAGCGGTTACTTGCGATAAATTAATAATCATACTTTTTCAGTAAAACGCTAATACGCGCCCGATATAAGGTATCGTTTAGTCGTAATAATAAATCAGAATATTATACTACATTTTATTTACATACATAATATATCATTTAATCAAAAAATCTTTCTAGTGTTTAAAATCGTTGAATTGCGATTTACATCAATTTTTTTTTTTTAATCTGACATTATTAGATTGTTATAAATTTATTTAGATTTTGATTGGTAGATTGCTGAAAAATATTAACCCTGTCATTTTTAGTTATCTTCACATGTGACATTTTGAGTTAAAATGTTATGACGTCATGTTTTTGCATATTTTCTGCTAAACGATGACGTAGGATTGAAGTAAAAAAAACGTATCTAATCTTTTACTATTATCAGACTGGCGGACTAAATGGTTTTTTTTTCCCCAGTCCTCATCCCTATTATAGGTAATTCATTGATTCAATACATTTGTTTCTATTATACATTTGTATAAATAAAAATATTTTTTATACTGTGTGCAAAATTTCAGATTTGTTGGTTGAGAGTTTGATGTCCACTCGCAAGATATGATGAACATACGGGTATATACCTACAATATAATAAAATTTTAACCCAAATAATATATAATAAGAAATAGTGCAACTAATAATAGAATGCATATTGGTATTTGCTGAATTTTTAGTTAACAAATTTTTATAGAAACTTTCATCTTACCTTCATAGTCAAAAGTGCTAGGCCTCCGATTCCCGCCGCACCAAGTGCTTTTGCAAACATCATCGCAAGTAAGGCCAATCCATACCCACCGCCCTTGCTACCTCGTCCGGTTACTGAAAGAAATAAAATTATTCTATTAATTGAGACTGCAATTAAAAACTTTTTGTTTTTATTGTATAGGTATTTAATTTCATCACTAATAATTTTAGGTCTTTTTCATGAACCGTTTCAAGGTTTCAAAATCAATCAAAATAGAATAACAAATACTGTAATTTTTTTTTTTATTAAAACCTTTTTAGGATTTAGTGCTGCAATAGGAAGAAACGGTACAGTTCTATAGCGGCCTCTTTTGTAGGGTAAATTAGTTATTTATAAATACAAAAGTGAATACAGTTAGCATCAAAGAAAAAATATTTCTCGTTTTAAACTCAAATGTTAATTATAAATATATATAGTTATAGTTTAACACATGCTATAAATTGAAAGATGTTGATAGATTATGCTTTTAAAATAGCTTTCCGCCAGCGGCTTCGCCCGCGTGAACCAGAACTGGTTTAGCAGGATAAAAGTACCTTATATGTTAGACCAGTCTTAGAATTATTTTTGTACCTAATTCTATCAAAATCCGTTCATTAGTTTTTGCGTCACAAAGTAACAAACACCCAAACTTACAAACTTCCGCCTTTATATTATTAGTAAGATTATTTACTTTACTGTAAAAATCTTAAATAATGTTATAATTGACTAGCTTTTGCCCGCCACTTCGTCCGCGTGGTAGTTACTTTGAGCAGCATTTCTAACGAATATTTATTCATTATATCGTGTAAAATACCTGAAAAAAAGTCTTATCTTCTAAGCTTATGCCCTTAGGGGTGGAATTTATCAAAATCCTTTCTTAGGGGATGCTTACGTCATGGTAGCTTTATGCATGCCAAGTCCTTAAAATTGACAAAGTTTCATACAAACTTTCATCCCCTATTTTATCCACTTGGGGGTGGAATCAATCAAAATCCTTTTTTAGAGAATGCCTACGTCATAGTATCCTTATGTATACAAAATCTCAGTCCGATCGGTTTAAAATTGACAAACTTTCATACAAAATTACATCCCCTATTTTATCCCCTTGGGGATAGAATTGATCAAAATCCTTTCTTGGCGAATGCCTACGTCATAACATCTAGCTGAAATTTCAGCCCGTTCCGTCCAGTGGTTTGGGCTGTGGGAATGCGTCATTTTCCCGCGGTAAAAAATAGTCTATGTCCTTTCTTGGGTATTAAAATATATCCATACCAAATTCCATGCAAATTGGTTCAGTGGTTTAGGCGTGATTAAGTAACAGACAGACAGAGTTACTTTGGCATTTATAATATTAATAAGTATAGATTTCGATATCGATTCATATCATGATACGGATAAAATACAATTACAAACCGAATAGTTATTTTAATTCCCTACACAACCATTTTCATACCTTTATTTGCAGTTTTTCGGGACAAAATATAGCATATGATGTGGCTTTAGAAAATTGGTCCAGCAGTTTCGGAGTTTATTCGTTGCAAATAAAAAATAATCTTTCCTCTTTATTATAATAGTATAGATATAAAATACTATACCTATACTAAGAATGGAAAGATAAATATTATTAGTTTAGTACACTCCTAGGATCATTCAAAGTTAATGTTTTCATGGATTATGTGTATCTTATGTGTATATGTCGCAGTGTGTTGTAGAATACATAATAAAATAATCAACCTTTGTCTGTTTTATAAAATTATTATTTTGTAATACAATTCGTAAATTTAGGTTGCTTGATCAAGCAACGCCTTTGACAATATTGCGTGTAATAAGTAAATATTAGACAACATCACGTACATTGCTCAGATAAATTAATTGAGTAGATAAAGCCCTTGTACTGTGGAGATCTCAAACAACGAAGATAAAATCCAGACCTAAAACAAAATAGAATAGAACATTTTCTACTTATCATTAATCAGACTGGGAGAAGAACCTGGGACCTCAGAGATGGCGACACCTAAAAACTGACATTTCAGCCACTCAGCCACTGCTTGGTTGAGATAATAGGTTGATGTATTTTGAATTGTACTTCACTCGTTATAGATATCGGAAAACGACTAATAGAAACATCCAGTCTCAATTTGATTAGGATGAAGAAACAAGTCCATTAGTTGAAGTATTTTAAACTAAATCAAGTGTAAAATCGAGATGTAAGTGTGATTATAAAGACAGCGATGTGACAAACACACGGTTTGTTAAGAAAATAGCACTGCGTTTAGCCAATTTCGCATTGGTAAAATGAGATTACAATATGTGACTGATATAAAAGTCTAATAAAACGTTAATTAACCTTTATCCAACAATTCGGTGAACACCTGCAATCATGGCCTTAATCCTTATTTTCCTAGCCGATTTAACTCACGTGGCGTGCACTAAGCTCACGCACCGCAATATTGCAGGGACGGCGGTCTCCGATCATAAATGTATATTCAAATATTTCATTGATTGAGCAACACATAATATACAAAAAAAACTAGTTAATAAGAATAGATGTGAATAGAATACATGTTGTATAATTTCTTCAATAACAGGAAAATATTATTAGATGGGTCACTCCAACAACACATAATATTACAGAGATAGTGGTTAAAGGGTTAAATCTTATTATATTTGATCAATTTTGCATTCATAATGATATACTAAAAAAATCTTAGTGAAATAAAAATTTTGTAAACCCCACTTCATGCTATCATTTAAAGCTACAGGAGATCTCCACCCGAATTCAATAGCATCTTCTTGATAAATCGCTTTTGAGATAAGTATTATTTATCACCTTTTTTTTAAGTTTAAAGTCAGTTTTAGTTTTGTTAATGAAGTATAACCCGATTCCAATTGTTATGAAATATGATTTCAATGTCTTTCATTAACATCCAGGAGGACATTGGAGACGGTTATTACTCACTAATAAAGAAAAAAATAATGCAATAGACAAATCAGGAAAGAGAGAATACAGGTGCAGTAATGTTGCAATAATAATATAGTGAATGTTATAATGACAACATTAACTCTTATAGCTCAAATTATTTGGTTCAAAGAACCTTGTCTAGTAAAGAAGCAGTTTCACGTGATGGGGGTGGTTGACCAACAACAAGTACATAATAAGAACCTGACATGACTGTATACGCATATCGATTATTGTAACTTAAACCTTCGCTTTACAGTCATCCGGAAACTAAAGTATTTTACTTAGTGTAAATAAATGAAGTTTTTATGATCATTGATATTAATTTTTTAATTAACTATAACTAAATCAAAAGCTTGTATGTGAAATAAACAAGGAGGTAAAATCCCTATTTCGCGTGGCCACACAGTTAATTCCTTTTTGTTATGGTCGTTATTGTTATGAGAAGGTTATTAAAATTTATTTCAGCTAGTAGTAGTTTATACAACTTTTCAACATTCTTTAAATTTACTCGAACGAAGAAACTAAAAAGTTTTTATTTCAAACATTGTTGTTTATAGGAATCTTGGAAGGTTGAATAAACTATTTTAACTCCTTGGTTATGTATATTTTATATACAAGTTTGTTAAAGAATTTAAAAAATAATAACAAAAAGCTTAATTTAAATACACTTTATTTACATTACAACTATAATAAAACATCTTAACTCTCATGTTAGAAAAAACAAGGAGTGCAACGAATATTAATATATGGTTAGGCTTAAATTGCTCGTATAAGAAATTATTGAATTTAATAAAACACGTGTCGTTAAATTGTTATTTATAAAAAAACACATTTTAGTAACAAATCATCAGTTATATAACTGACGAGGTAGGCGAGGTTTGATTGGAAATAATTTCTATCCGTATTTGCTATTTTGCTAAAACTGTCTGCTTATATTATGTTTTTCATTCAAACATACAAGTCATACTATTTACGTATGAACTACTAGACATACACATAAGTACGCTGCAATGATTTAATGTAATATATAGATATAATGAATAATAGTATAATATTAATTAGTATTATTGGGAACATGAATCTTAAAAATGGATAGCTTTCAAAACCGCTTTTGGATTATTATTACTAACAAAATGCCTGTTATCACGATTATAAAAATGGATTCACAGCTGCACACACAGTTTAAAAAAAAGAGCTAGCATATTTTGGAAAATTGTAATAAAATTTTCCATTTTATTGTCGACATAAGAATTAATTTACGTATTTATCTTACAGTTAATTAGGACAAATAATCCTTATTAATATTTCTCCAAAAATTATCTATAACTGCAAAATAATATCAAATTTATCAGCTAGCTCTATAAAATAATAGTTATTTGGGTGTTTGGGCGGATTGTCTGAACATTGATGAAAATACGTTTTATAGTAGCGAAAAGGTGCTTGAAAAATTCGTTAGACCTGTTAGGTCCTGGGTAGTTCAGCGGTTAGAGCAGACGCCTGGATTGCGAAAGGTTATGGGCTCGAGTCACATCTCAGAGTGCCAGGGGCAAAATGATTTTTTTTTATCATTTTTCAGTATGTCATTGTGAATGCAAAATTGATCATTGATCATTTTTATTTTATTAAAACTTTAATTATCAATTGATATTTAAAAGTAATTGGGCACATAAAAAATCTAATATTAGTTATAGTATAAATTAGTCCACTATTTAACATTTCATATAGAATTCATAACTGACCTTTGGTATCCTTGTAGGTTTCGTCGACTGTCTTCAACGAATCAGCGAAGAACTCCGTTAGCTTGTCTTTTTCGATCAGTTTCGGCAATTTCACCATCAGCTCGTGTCCCTGAAGGAACTTCGCCATCCTGAAGAGTACAGAGTTCCCGCCGTAACTTCTGCCTTCATCCTCTAAACTATTAGACACTGGTACGCTTACTAATCTCACACCATCAGCAATATTAAAATCACCGTCAAAAATAGACCCTAAGCTCACAGCCGCAAGGGCTAACACGAATACAGCTTCCCTATACATTCGCATTTCGCAGTCACTGGAGAAATAAGACAGAGATGGCTGTATAAACGCTTTTATAGATATAGCTTTCAAAAAAATAAGAAGTTCAGACTCGGCCAATTGCTTTGCTGCTTACGCGGCTAGTGGCAAAAAAATTGGGTTATTCTGCAGCTATTGTAGTATCATAACTCTCTGTTTATGTTCTCAGTAAAAGTCAAAAAGTGTCGATGATTGACGCGTAATATATTTATTCAAACTTTAACTACGTGCTTTATTACATTACTTATCAAAAGCAAATGTTTGTACATTACAATATGGATCAATTATTTACTTATATTTAACCATTATATTTACACGGCCGCATGCCAGGTTACCACAATATGTCAAGTCAAATACGAGCAATAAATTTTGACCTCTACTCTCAATATAATAAGCTTTAAAATTGAGTGGGGAAATGACAGTAGTAAAATCTGAGGTGCAATTCACTGAACATTGCTCAGATTCCAAATTCAGGAGCTAAATCGCTTGAATTATACATATCTAAAACAACGAAAGTACTACAAGACATACACCCAATACAATACATAAAAGTACTTTAATAATAAAAAAACAAATTTCACCAACCACATTACCAGTATTTAAATAAATACATGTTTGTCAATTTTCCTAAAGTTGCGGAATGATGCTGATCTGAATCACGACATTGAAACCACCTGTAAATAAAAGTAAAACAATAGTTTACGTTTGATCAAATATAACGAATACTAGAAGTGACAAAGTATATTTGATGAAAAGTCGATTTGTAAGGCATTAAAAAGTAATTCACATAAAATACAAATGCATCACCTAAGGGTTAACCTATATAGAATGCCTAAGGTAAGTCTGCACTCTTCCAAAAAGCAGATAAAGCTATTATGTATCAATACCATTAATAATATTACTTTAATAATTTTAATTAAGTTCTTGTGCTATAGATTACCTTGTTTTACTAAACAACTAACAAACAATAACACAGAATAGTGTACACTACTGAGCACGAGTGTAGAATCAATAACTTTTTCAAATAATAGGGATGATGACTAGTTTATGTTTGTCTTTTTATTTTTTGCATAACTAATAAATTGTTGCGATACACGTACTTGAAGTGTCGTATGACACCTTTGTACATTTTCTACATAGTTATGACGAAGTTATGACTTATCTTACCTCAGTCAATTTTTATCATATTGAAGCATTTTTTTTTATAGAATACGGGTATATTATGATATTTTATATATAATTTGAATATAATTTTTATAACCTCGGTATCGTCCCTATTATTTTATCATAAAGCTTTTAAGAACTTTAATTATTGTCCAAAGATAAATAGTAAGATAACTTTCGTTAATAGTTGAGTTTTAAGAAAAAACCATTTAAAGATTTTATACTCGTATCATTGATTGATGAGCGCCATGTGAATTTATAAGTGTTTCAGAGACAAAAGGATTTATTTTTTTAGGAAGAATACGGAATTTAAACTATGGTATCTAAAACTTATAAGGTTTTGAATGGATTAGGAGATAAGTATAAGTAACTATAAGTAACCTATGGAGATAAGTAACTCAAGTTTTTGATCACTGGTGTTTAAAAGCAATATAATTTAGTAACACCAACCTATTCAAAACATAATTTCAAGTCAACATATCTACTTGGCTCATCATCTGAGCCTTATCATTGCTGCGTTACCCGCATTTATTAGGCAAAGTATAGATGATATAATTTTACGACTTTCATGGTTGAAAAGTTCGCAGATGTCATGGTTATGAGTAAATCCATAAATGTACTTTTGAATGTTTTCTTGGTTACATTGTTTCGTTCAAGTTCTTTGCCCGTTTTGAATTTCCAAAACAAATTGGCTCTTCTAGTTAATTTTAATAATATTCACTACATCCGTGTCACTAGATAGTGAAATAACTAAGATCGAGCGATTTTAGCCGTCGGCGCTTTAAGATGTTTTTCTTTTGTAAGGTGAGAGTATTTGTACTGAGACGTCACAGCAGGCGACAAACAAATAGAATTGGCACTTATCACGACTCGTGAAGGTTCAATATATTTATACTTTGATGCTCAAAATATTGTTAGTTTCACAGCGAAGGGCTTGAGATAGAAGCTCGTAATATTTTATTTTTGTTTTAACTTTTTTGTTTCACTTGACTTCAATATTTTATAGGTTTTTAATGTGGCGGTTAGTTGATGGTACATTGTTGTACTTTCAAAATAATTTTACACGGCTCTAAGAATATGAACTAGACTTTTCATTGGACAATTTCATAGAAAGCTTAGTAATCCATTTGTTCCAATGGAAACAATTACATAGTGTTATTCCTAAAATGTTAGTTGTTTAAACACTTATAAGATTGGTTTTGTGTTAGCATTTAAGCTCAGATTATTTTTGGACACTTTGTTTATAGGTACTAAATCACGACAAAATGCGTTTTATATGTATAGAAAGCTACTAAAAAAAGAAAAGTTTTATATAAAAAAAAATCAGCAATGGTGCAAATAAAAGAAAAAATATATATTATAATTATACGATGTACCTTTTTTAGGATTAAATAAAATTAAGTTTTAAATTTTCTACTACATTTATTTGATAAAATTTTCTTTATACCCTCTTTTACATCCGCTTACGTTCCTATAGAAATACGCATTTATTCCATCATAGAAAAAAATCAAATGCCGTTATATTTATTTTGTGGTCAACATACTATATTTTGTGTATATATCTTATATAGTTAAGATGAAATATACTAGTCGTAAAATCGATCCCAAAAACTTATTACAGTCATCTTTGCGACGTTTTTCTATTGAGCCAATTATGGAAATTTATACTATTGTTTTAACAACTAATCAATCATAAGTTTTATATCCATAAAATGATTTTTATTTTGCATATATTAGAATAAAATTGGTTTAAAATGTGATAATTTAGTACAACTTCGCCTAATATTCTGTATAAAACGTATTGTACTGAAACAATGTTTTCATAAACTTTTTCTTAAAGATTGTTTTTGTTTTTAGTGGATTCGATTGTTTACAACCAATATGACATTGATAAAAAGTGTTATATTGCAATAAAGTAAGTATCACACAAATTAAAACATAAGTTTCAAAATAGATTATATTTCATAACATATACAATATATTTAAGTAGTCTTGTAACAAGAACTGTGACATAAAGGGTTGTATTTTAATCGCTGTTGGTTTTCCATAATTTCGCTAACATAAGCACAATAAGGGTGTAGACAACTTTTCTTGTGTTTATAATTTATAGATCATCTAAAAAAATGTACAATCATTTAATAAGTTAAAATCTACATATAAATTTATTTTTCGAAAAATTATCCTTGTATACTTCACTTCTGTCATTGCGTCACGGCCCTTTGAAACTAATATCGGTCTATGTATGTATAAGGATCAATTTATTTTCGTTTACTGTGAAACTTAGCTCAGCGTAGCTTGACAAACTCGAGAAATGCATTGTCTACTCTCCAATGTCCCTTTTCTCCGATCGAAGGTGAGATAATAATAATAATTTATAATAATGATAATTTATTTATTTCTCATCATAATCATTACAAATGTAGTAGTGGCTAAATACGTACAATAATAATTAGATAATATTAAATGTTGTATAAGCGCACGCGAGAAAATTGACATTTGGATATAGACAAAACGTTGCACAAGATAAGCAAGCATTTTGGTGCCGAATAGCTAATTAGGTAGGACAAACATAGAAGTCTTTGTCCATAGTACAAGAAACAGATTACATTTTCTTTCTTTACTAGGATCGCGAACATTTGTTACAATAATTCACTTATACATAAGTACAAAGTCTACATTATTTTTATTGCTTAATGCACAACTACTTATAGGTGAACTCAGCGTGCATTAAGTTACAAACATAATGCAAAAATATAAGTTCTTTTTAGAGGAGAGCAAAGCGTAGTAATAAGCTATCGAAGAATCCAGCAGGCACGCGAATATAGAAATTTACTAGCAGTTTTGTACAGTCAGTTTTGTTCCTGAATAACTTAGTTGAAAACTTTAGGTCAATCAGTTTCTTTCTTTCCGAGAAAGGAAAATAATTAAAATTTAATTGAAATCGTCAAGTATGAAAATAAAGCTTCCGAGCCTTATTTAAAACTTATTACAACAGAATCGAAAGAGAATTTAAAATATATAAATATGCCCATAGTAGGTCTCCTTTAGCACAAAAATTTGTGACATAGCTGTATCACGTATACAGGCCTTCAAATGCAATTTCGAATCTATCACAGTAACTTATGTAACAAGTATCAATTCATTCGCAAGACCGTTTTGATTACATTCTGATGCATAAACACAAAAAGAAGGTAACAAAAACTATTACTTTAGACAGAGATAGAGACATATTTCATGAGTTCTCACCTAAGAGTGAAAGTGAAGCGTAATAACCTCAAATATACCCGAGAAAGCCCGCCAAATGTACGCCATCTTGTTTTTATTTTTCATTTTGGCGCTTACAATAGCATTGGGTATTGGTAGTTTTGCTTGTTTTATAGAAATCGAAAGTATATCCGATCGGCCTGATATAATGAATGCAGAGAGAACATTTTGTTAGAAGCCCTTACTACCTTAGTACATTGAAAATTTTCTGGAAATAAATTAAATATTTTAAAGTTCGAAACAAAATTTGCCGAATTATTGTTTGTTTAGTATTATTATACTTGTAGATAATGATTCATAAACTATTGTGAAAAATGTGTTAAAGTGGGCATTCCGATATTAGATAGACACAACAGTATTATAAAATACCTAACAGCTGAATGACTGGTACTCATAAAATTTTTGAAACATACCCATATTGTATATATAATACAATTTAGAACTAATGCAAAATTTCGATAACGTCGGAATGATTGCTTAAGCTTAAACATAAAACTCTTTAAATATAAGGTACATGATATCATGTTTTTAACAATAATTGTAATGTATGTAAACCATAA